GAGAGAGTGCTGTGAGTGTGAGAGTGCTGGGTGTGAGAGTGCTGTGTGTGATGGGTGTGAGAGTGCTGTATAAATGTTATTGTGTGTGTGTGTGTAGGGGGGGGTAAATAAACAAAAAACAGGCATTATGTCCCACCCCCCTCCCTTCTTACCTTTAGCCTGGGAGGGGGGGACCGGCACGCTGGGACTGGGAGGCAGGGAGGCGGTGTTCCCTGGTGGTCCTTGTGGATCTCCCCACCGGCCCGTCGTGGAAAAATGCGGGGCCGGCGTTAGGAGAGTGACGGCCCTGCATAGACCGGCAGGGGAGATCCTGGGACCTCCCCTGCCGGCCTCGGCCCCACGGCCACCGCGGCCCACCGGGCATTTGCCCGGTGTGCCCGATGGCCAGTCCGGGCCTGGTCATGCATCACAGAAGCATAAAAAAGTGGAGTTTTTTCACGTAGGTCAAAAATTTGATGGCTGTTACAAAATCTAGAGCAATGCAACATAAAAAATGTCCCTAAAGAATCTATGGATGGTAAATAGTATAGTTCACAATTTAGACAAAAGGACTGGAAGAGCCGAATAACATTTTTCGTACTACAGTATTTCCACTGTTTATTGTTACAGCGTTTACTGTTACTGTGACATAGCAAATATTTGACAGTTTGTTAACTTTTTAACTAAAAAAGTACTCAAAAAAGAGAGAAAAAATGCTTTGTGTGTATCATCTATTTTGGAGGTTTTCTGTGATTTGTAAGGTCCAGCACCTACATCTGTCTTATTCTCACTTTTTTGTTGATCTATCCTATGTTTGCATGATAGGTTCTATCGTTATTGTAATACCATAAATCCTTAACACACTTTTCTTATTTCCTCTCCTTTCTAGTCCCAAGCATAGGCTCCTTATTAAAGGGACACTTTAGTCACCAGAACAACTACAGCTTATTGAATTTGTTCTGGTGAGTAGAACCATTACCTTCAGGGTTTTTGCTGTAAACACTGTCTTTTCAGAGAAAATGCAGTGTTTACATTACAGCCTAGTGATAACTACACTGGCCACTCCTCAGATGGCTGTTAGAGATCCTTCCTGGGTCATGGCTGCCTAAAATGCAACCAAACATTCAGTATCTCCTCCCTCTGCATGCAGACACTGAACTTTCCTCATAGAAATTAATTGATTCAATTAATCTCTATGAGGAGATACTGATTGGCCAGGACTGTGTTTGAATTGTGCTGGCTCTGCCCCTGATCTGCCTCTTTGGCAGTCTCAGCCAATCCTATCCTAATTGTGAATGGATCAGGCTCCCACCTCTGCTGATATCAGCAGGCAGTGGGCAGGTCTACAGGAAACAGGGACAAAGCCTGCAGCTCCAGACTTGAATACAATTAAGATTTTACTATTTTAGGGAGGCATGGTGGCTAGATGGTGGTTTTAACCCTATAGGATCAGGAATACATGTTTGTGTTCCAGACCCTATACTGCTCCTTTAAAAATCAGAAGCCAAGTTTATCTTCATTATGAAATATATATATTTAGATATGTTTGTTTACAAATCTATATCTATCTATCTGTCTATCTGTCTACATATATCTATTTATATGTACACCTCTATGCTAAATCAACAAATCAACAAATCAACTCATTCTTCATTTTAACACAGAATATTATAATTCAAACTCTTGCATTCTTTATTGCACTTTACTAGCTTATTCTGGAATTGATCATTTTAAATTTACAAAGTATTGCTGACTTTTGCCGGTTGACAAATTAATCAAATCTGTAAATGGCAATTTGAAGCCTTATGTTTTAGATTTTTTTTTTAACATGTCACACACAAAATATATGGCAGTTTTCAATTTCTTACACAAAGTTTGCTGCCTCCCGCTTGTATGAAAATGATAGATAACTTAGCATTGATAATATAGAGTGTAAATGCTGGCCTTTAGCCACTAAAAGGTTTCATTTCTGCACAAATTAAACATTCTGTGCAAATTTCTGCTACTCCCTGGCACCCTGTATCCTCGTCTTGCTATATTGCTAAATCGAAATGAATTCATCTTACGAGATGACAAATTTATGGCTTCTTTCAGTTAGTCTTCCATTAGTAAACATATTTGTCCCAGGCTTTCAGTAAGATCACATGCGAGGAGACAATCTTTATAGGCTTCATAAAGATTTTCACACTTTACCAGTAAATAACAGGAATTGTATTTTACTGCTGCCCTAAAACAAGCATTGCCGTATAACAAAACTTCCACCACCTTGAGAGAGTACTTTATCCCTACTCCATGAAACATAATGAACAATTCTAGACAAAGGATATGGGCTAGGAGGACTGTGATTAAGGACTTACAGCCTAAAACACAAAAGACCAGTCATGCTGTTTCTATGGCTAGGTCCTCGTTTCCACTGATTTTATTTTCCAATAAAGTCTAGAATTTTTATTTGATTCCCTGCCAAAAGCTGCCATTGAAAAAAGTCACTTACTTACTGCATCTCTGAGATATTCAAATAAGGAAATGCTTTGTATTCGATTTTCTTTTTTCTTCATCTGTTTCATCCACAGTTTCATATTACTAGGTCTCATAAACGTGGTGCTTGTTAATTACCTGTGTGGCAGTAAGACATGACTGCATGCCAAAACGGTTTAGCTTAGAAGAGATAATAAGCTCTAGTCACCCTCTCCGATGACTTCATGGAACAGCTTCATATAGGTACATCAGATGACCTTAATTTTGGATATCTGAAATCTGAGGCAAGGTGGGGTTGTGGTCATTTAATGGAATGCTCTGGGCACAATGCAAACTTTATTGGAATGAAGTTGTTATGTTAGTAGAAGGTCCCTTACACCGGCTTACCTTTTAGGGGATAAATCATTCGTTAACAGTTTAACCACAAAGTCTTCTCTCCAGTGCTGTTTAGGTCTGCCCCTGTCCTTCTGGTTCTCTAAGATTCTTCAAGCAGGAATCCTCAGATTGCTGTGCACAGGGGCACCATTGATTGTGTTCCATCAAATAAGCGAAATGTAAAATTTTCCTTGAAATATAGCTAGAGTCTAGGGAAAAGTCAAAACAAACAAGAATGAGGAGAAATAACTTGATACAAGCATAACTATAAAGAGGCAGGAGAAGTCTGTAGAACAGTAAGGGTGCGGAGAAAAAAACCCTCAAAAACCTCTTTCTCTCTGGGAAGGGTATGGAGGCCAACGCAGCATACACCATCACCAAAATGTGGGGTAGGGGTGTTGATATTCAGGCAGTGCCCATCTGGACAAAAAGTCAAGCCAGGTATCCAGAACTCCATGAAAAGGCCCCGATCTACTATAAAGAAAGGCAGTCAATACCTACCCAACAGCTTTTACATAAGATATTCATTAATTGTCCTGGCTGATAAACACCACCAGAATGCAATACGATGTGGCCTGATCTATACAGGAAAGTTGATTGCGTACAGCAACCGTAGACTTTTTATGTCATTATGTCAAGTTCTTATTTTTATTTTTTTTATCATTCTTTATTTATTGGTTTTGTGTTGGTATCAGTAATCAAGGGAAGGGGTACAGAAAATAAAAAGGGGGGGGGGGTACAACAGTTCCATTCAGACAGGTTTGTACCAACGCAGGGTACGTTTAAAAACATGGTAGTACAATGGTGAACAGTGTGCATTAGACTATAATGGCTACCAGTTATCGAACTTGTGTTGATGTGTAATCTAGTACCCTCTCGAAGCGGTGGGGTCACCGAGGAAGGGGTAGAGAGTCCGTGCGGGTCGAGAGTGCGGCTGGCGTTGGGGTGTGTTTTCTTATCTGCTTAGCCGGTAAGTCCCGGTCTATTATGTCAGTCCGAGTCGGCCGTTGTATTTTTGCTTACAGGTCGATCATTCTCCTGTCAAGTTTTGAGGGACCCTAGTTGGTGTTTGTTGTGTTCCAGCTTTTTAACTGCCTCTTCGGGTTCCGCCTGTCAGGTTCGTCTCTGCGCCCGTTAGTAGGGTGGTTGTCTTAGTGTTTCCCCTGTTCCCAGGTGAATGGTACTTTTGGTTGTGTCATGAGTGGTTGGGTTGGTGGGGTGAGGCCTTGAGGTTGGTGGTGTCGTGGGTGGCCTGGTTATAGTGGGTCGGGTTGGAGATAGGGGTCGCGGGCCGCCCGGAGCGCGGTGTCCCCAAGAGTGGGACCGGGGGGGGCTGGGGCTCAGTGGTGGCAGGCGTAAGGGCCATGGTATCATGTGTTCAGTGAGGGGTAGCGTGTTAGCTACCTAGTCGTTTGTTGTATTGTTGGCAGGTGCTCAGTTTGTGCATACGGCTACCAGGGGATGGATGTGTCTCCCTCTAGCCACGGGTCCCAAACTTTGTGAAAATGTTTGGGGGTGTCACGGAGTTGTGCTGTCAGTTTATCCATCTGTGAACTCTCTGTTATTTTTCTTGTTATCATTTCTTGTGTTGGGATGCGGGTCGTAGACCAGAGTTCGGCTATGGCTCTGCGGATGGCAAGCGCGATCCGGGCTATCAGTTTGTTTTCTGATCTCGTGAAAGGATCTATGGGCTTGGATAGCAACAGGGCCCAAGGGTCTGCCGGGCATGGTTTGTGTAGTATTTTGGCGATTAAGTGGGTGGCGCTTTGCCATAGAGGTCGGAGTTTTGGGCACGTCCACCAGCAGTGGAGGAACGTTCCCGTCTCTCCACATAGCTTCCAGCATGCGTTGGATGGTGTCTGGTGCATGGAAGCCAAGCGTTGTGGTGTGAGGTACCACCGAAATAGCATTTTATATGCCTGCTCGGTGTGTGTAACGCATATAGAGACGGAGGCTGTTGCCTCCCAGATATCCGCCCAGTCTGTCGTGTCGGTCGGTGGACCCAGGTCTGTCTTCCACGCTGATATGTATGGGAGGGAGCGTTGTGTGGGGTGATTAGCTATGATTGTGTACAGGTCTGAGATTTGACCTTTTCTGCTGGGGTGGGTCACGCATCCGCGTTCAAATTTGGTGAGTGGTGCTGTTCCCGCTTGTTTAATGCTTAGAATCGCTGCAAAGCTACGTAGTTGTATATACCGAAAGTGGTCAAATGTTGTGAGGGACGCGGAGTCTGGGATGTCTGAGAACTGGATAATGTCGTTGTCCTGATAGAGGTGTCCTATTCTAGCAATGTCTCTTTGTTCGAACTTGGCGAAGTGTTTGGGTGTGAGGCCCGGGGGAAACAGTTTGTTCCGCCAGATCGGGGTCATCGGGGAAAGGAAAGATGAGAGATCATACTTATCTTTCGCTTTGTCCCACTGGTCAAGTGCGTGCGTGATCGCGGGTGCTGTCGGCGGTGGTAGGGGTCTGTGTGGCCTAGGTCTCCACATGTATAGGGACGGGTGGTCCCAGCCAAAGATCAGGTGTTCCAAATCCACCCATCTCTTCTCACCCGGCTGTACGTGCCAGTGCTGTATCTGTGCTAAGTGTTCTGCTGTGTGGTAGTGTAAGAAGTTCGGTAGGCCTAGGCCTCCGGATTTCTTGGGGACATATAGCGTGCTCCTGCGTACCCTTGGTTTGCGTCCGTTCCATACGAACCTATCTATAGCCGTTTGAAGGGCCTTGAAATCTGGTTTGTGTAGAGGGATTGGGAGGGTTTGGAAAAGGTAGAGGAACCTAGGTAGAAGGTTCATCTTGATGGAGGTCCCGCGTCCCATCCATGATATGCCCAGGGGTTTCCATGTGACCAAGTCCTCGTATGCTTTGAGTATTATGGGGGTGTAGTTCTTGGAGTATAGGGACGTGACGTTAGCTGTTAGTTGGATCCCGAGATAGGAAATAGCCGAGTGGCAGACCCGGAGAGGGAAGGTGAGGCGGATCCTATCTAGCGTTGTGGTGTCCATTTGGATAGGAAGCAGTTCCGATTTATTCAAGTTGAGCTTATATCCCAAAATTTCCGAGTATTCCTCCACAATGGCGAGGAAGGGCCCTAGGGAGCGTTCTGGGTTGGTCAGGGTCAGGAGGATGTCATCGGCGTATGCCGAAATTTTGAATATTTCCCCCCTGACCGTGATCCCCTCCACCCCCGTATTGGCGCGTACCGTCTGGAGAAGGGGCTCCAGGGAGAGGGCAAACAGCAGGGGTGACAGAGGGCACCCCTGTCGCGTGCCGTTAGTGATAGGGAAGCATGGGGGTGGGATATTAGACAACAGGAGTGCCCCCTGGGGGTCGTGGTATACCGCTGTCAGGAACGAGGTGAATTCTGGTGGTAGTCCTATGTGTGTCAGAGTTTGGTGTAAGAACTGCCATGTGAGGCGATCGAAGGACTTTTCGGCATCGAGCGATATGACTGCTGTTGGGGTACGTCTATGGTTGGCGAGCCAAATGAGGTCAATGGCCCTCCGGGTGTTGTCCGCTGCCTGTCTCTGGGGTATAAAGCCCACCTGATCGGGGTGTATGAGTGATCCCAGGTGTGGATTTAGTCTGTTTGCCATGACCTTGGTCATGAGTTTGAGATCAACATTAAGCAGGGAGATTGGCCTATAGTGGGCAGGTTCAAGCTGGTCCTTTCCGGGTTTGGGGAGGAGGCAAATGTGAGCCCTTGTCATGTCTGGCGGGAGGGTTTCCCCCCTCAATGTGGCGTTGAATACTCTGCATAAGTGGGGTAGTAGGATAGGGCTAAATTCTTTGTAGTATATGGTCGAGTAGCAATCAGGGCCCGGGCTCTTGTTTGGCTTAAGAGGTCCGAGTGCCTGTGCCATCTCCTCCACCGTGACCTCCTGCCCTATTGCGGCCCTGGCCTCCTGGGTCATGGAGGGCAGGGTCGCTTTCTGTAGGAATGTGTCTATGCGAGTGCGTAGGGGCTCTGAATCGGTTTGGGAGTGTCGGGTATGGTTATATAGGTTGGTGTAGTAGTCCTGGAAAATGCTACCTATGCGAGTTGGGTCATTGCTAACGTCGCCTCCTGTGGTGAGTATGGCCGAGATCCGTTTGGACTCTATTCGGTGTTTGAGTCGGCGGGCCAGCATAGTGTCCGCCTTGTTCCCTTTTTCGTAGAACGTCCGTTTTAGCCACATCAGGGCCTTGGAGGTGTCTTGTTGTGTGAGGGTTTTGAGGAGGTCCCGGGTCGCTGTCAGTTTAGTTAGCGTGGTGGGGTTAGGGTTCTTTTTTGTGTAGGGTTTCTAGGCGGCGGAGTTCCGTCATGGCGTCAGTGATTTGCTGTTGTGTGTGTCTTTTTTTATGGGTGGCCAGGCTAATGAGAGTGCCCCTGATGACCGCTTTATGGGCGGCCCATATCGTGGCGGGCGCAGTGTCCGCCTGTGTGTTTAGGTCAAAGTACTCTTTCAGCTCGTTAGCTATTTTGTCGGTGATTGATTTGTCATGCAGGAGAAGAGGGTTCAGCCTCCATGACCATTGTCGATAAATCGACTGTAGAGCGAGGGTGATAGCTATTTCCGCATGATCGGACCATGAGATAGAGCCGATTTCGGATTTAGTGATTGGTGGTACTAGGTTAGGGGTCACCAGGAAGTGGTCTATGCATGAATACGTGCCATGCGGGTGGGAGTAGAACGTGTAATCTCTGGTTGACGGGTGTTGTGCCTTCCATATGTCGATCAGTTTTTGTGAGGTGAGAAATTGGTGGAATAGGGAATCATTCTGCGACGGGCGAGAACGTGCCGTGGCAGTAGAGGTCCTGTCGGCGGCTGGGGTGTGGACTGCGTTGCAATCCCCCCCGACCACGAGTCGCGCAGTTGAGTAAGTGTTGAGGTGTGTAGTCAGTTGTTGCCAGAATGAGGCGTCTGGTGTCGTAGGTGCGTAGATCGAGGAGAAGGCGTAGGTTGTAGTGCCCACTTTCCCCTGTATGGTTACGTAGCGTCCCTGCGGGTCCCTGTTGCATACCACGTCTGAGAGGGGGCAGTTGGCTCTCAGAATAATGGCTACTCCCTTCGTTTTGGAGTCTGGGGAAGGGGCCATATAGCTCTTCGGGTAATGTCTGTTGGTGAGGGGGAAAGCGCGTTGGGCCGTGAAGTGGGTTTCTTGTATAAGTAGGATGTCTATGTTTTGTTTGTGAGCCCATCTTAGTATGCCATGTCTCTTGGCGGGGGAGTTCAGCCCTTTTGCGTTAATGGATACGCACCGTAGGTTTACAGGCATGGTGTTTTTGGTCTATCGCTAGGGCTCTGGGGTGGGGAGTGTGAAAAGGTTGGGGGCCGCGCTCCCGGGCGGTCCGAGGCCTCGGGGATGGGGAGAGAGTGAGTGGGTGTTGGGGTTCTTATCTATGTGAAGGGCGGGGTTCGTGGGGGTTTTGGGGGTGAGGGTTGAATGTTAGTAGGGGTGATCCGCTGGGCTTATATTGTTGCCAGCGGTATGCGGGGTGAGCGTCTGTCCGCTCGGTGGGTGTTCGTACCCTAGTGGTGTCGTGTCGTCAGGGGTTGGCAATCTCTCTAGCAGAGTTGCCGGCAGGCAATGTGAGTATTGAATCGTATACGTTGGTAGGTGGTGGTCGGTCCGAGTAGTGATTGTGACAGTCATGTCTATTGTTCCTCACCTCGTATGAAGGTGTGGGCGTGTATGGTCAGTGCGTCCGTGCCGCCAGGGTCTGGTGATGTGTTTCTAGCGTCTGCTTAGCGTTCGCTAGCTCCCTTGTCTGTGTCGCGTCCGGTGCGTCAGTGGGTGCCTTTCGTGGTGTGGTCGTGATCGGGTCCAGAGGAGAGATGATGTTACCACAAGAGAAAATGAGACATTTAGAAAAAATATACATAACATGCAGAACAGTGACAAACATTTCTGCGACAGTATGAGTGTACCATAATATGAATTGTCTTTGTGCTCTGGAAGATAGAGTGCCTCCAGTGATCTGTTGGGGCAGGGGGAAAGGTGCCCGGGGGCGTCCAGTACAGGGTGCCCCGTGTTCGTGCGTTGAGTGGCTTAGTTACTTGGTCCCCCCCCCAGGGGTCAATCCCCCTACATTATTTTGGCTCGATGTTTGTCTGGAGTTAGGCTTGCCCGTCAGTCCAGGATCAGTGGTCTGTGTTGAATGCATGGGCTCGTGTGCAGTAGTATATCTGTGTCTGCATGTGTTTTTTTTTTTTTTTGTCCCATTTTTAGTGTATTTTTCCCTTTTTGTTTTTCCCCCTTTTTTTTTTTTTTCCCTCTTTTCTTTTCACCCTCCCTTTGGTAGTTCGGCTGGTTGTGTAATTAGCGGGGTGGGGGTCCCCTGTAGTGTGAGACTTCTTGCGCGTCTTTCCCGATGGGGTGCTTTCCATATGGCTGGGGCCTAGGGACTCTAGTGTGGTGGGAGGGTGTGGGGTTCACTGGCTCCCCAGGGAAGGGCCCGATTCCGTCTGTGTGCTAGGTTGTCTGGGGGACTATGCTTGTATGGGTTCCCTGGGTGCCTGCCTACAGGCAGGTGTCAGGTGCCGGGGTCAGCTGGGCGTGTTTCCCACTCCCTGCCTAGTGTCCCCTTCCCTCTTTAATGTCCAGAAACGGGGTTGGCAGCCTGTGTCCCCTGTGGGGGCAGTGGTTTGTGTTTGGCTCCTTTGGGGAGTGTAAGATTAGCGGGGTCCCATGGGTTCTGTGGTCAGCTGAAGTGGGTTCATCTGGGGGTCTAGTAGTGGGCTCGCTAGCGGCTGGGCCCGGGGGTCCTGGTGGTGCGTGTGTGGTGTGGTTTTTTTTTCCCCTCCCCCCCCCGTGTTTTCTTTGTGTTGTCCCTCCCTCCCCCACCCCCCTGTTTTGTACCCCCCTACGTGATTTCCCATGCCGTATTTGGCTGTAAATGTAGGGTTAAAGCTTAGAGTTAAAGCATGCAACATAGTGTTGCCACATAATTAGTCCTGTTTAGGGTAAAGTCATAGCTTATCTGGTTCCGGGCGACCTGTGGTCAGACAGTTCGTGTTCTCCTGGCGTGCGATGCCGTGGGTCCGGTGGTCTGTGAGGTGTGTTTTCGGTTGTCCTGGCAGCGTGGAATCGGTGAGGGTCGTGTGGCAGGTGACGGTCCATGTCGTAGAGGTGCGGTCATCTGTACGTCTTTAGGTGGCCGGTTGAGGGTGAGGACTGCTGGGAGGTGGAGCCCTTGTCGGGTGCAGTGTCGGGCCCCTTGGAGAAAGTCTTCCTGCTGGGCGTCTATCAGGCTGTTCGGCGGTGAGGTCGATGGCCGGAAGGCCCAGGCGTTCCGCGAATGCTGTGGCTTCGGAGATATGGTACAGAGTGTGTACCCGGTTGTTTTGTCTCACTTGTAGCTTGAAGGGGTGGCCCCATGTGTATCTTATGTGTCTCCTGGCCAGCTCCAAGGTTAGGGGTCTGAGTTCCCTTCTCTTGCGTAGCGTGCTTGGAGCTAAGTCTTGATAAAAGCAGACTTGATGCCCCTCTATTTGGAGTGGGTTATATCTCGCCGCTCTCATCAGCGCTTCTTTTATATGGAAATAGTGCATGCAGATGATGATGTCCCTGGGCTGGGTTGCATTCGGGAGGGGTGCTTTAAGGGCCCGTGGGCTCTGTCTAGTAGGAGCTCGGCTGGTGAGGCCTCTGGGAGTAGGCTGCAGAAAAGCTCTCTCAAAGTGGGGGCCAGCATGTCTATTCCAACCGTCTCTGGCACCCCGCGAATTCGTATATTGTTGCGGCGGGAATGGTTATTGAGGTCCTCTTGGGCCTCCTCCAGCAGGTGTACCTGGTCTTGTAGTGCTGAGATGGCGGTTTCGTTTGTCTGTGCCTGCATGGAGGTGCGGTCCAGCTGGTCTTCAATGGCGGTAGTTCTGCGTGTGAGGTCATTTAGGCTTTCAGTGATGGGAGTCAGGTGTCTGGAAAACTCTGCAGCCATGTTGGTTTTGATCTCCTGCAGCAGGTGCCTGAGGTCAGCTTTTGTAAGAGGTGCTGCGGCTGCCGTGCGGCTGGTGTCACTTGCCGCCGAATCTGAGTCCTCCTCGCGGCCATCTTCCCCACGTGAGCTCTCCTCCTTGCGGGCGCGAAAGATTGGCGCTACCTCCGCGCCATGCTTAGTCTTGCGCCCTCCTCCCATGTCGGGTCGGTGGAGTGCCGTGGCCGGGATGCTGGGGACCGGGTGTGCTGCCCTTTCGTCGGGTATACGTGCCGGTAAACGCTAATGTTGTGCCTGCCGGTACGGAGCTCTAGCAGAGAGCAGCCATCCGCACCGGAAGTCAGGCGCCACCCCCCGTCAAGTTCTTATTTTTAACTGGGGGGAAAAAACTTTCAGGAATATTGTATAAATTGCTATCAATATAGTATAAATAAATCACTGTATTTAAAGAGACCCACGGTGGTTTCTTAAGTTGACGTTTCTTTCTGCAACATTCAGCTGCATATTGAAAGACTATCTGATGGAAAAAAGGATGAGTGCATTTTCCAAAAATCACAATTAAAAAGCAGCATAATTTTTGTCCTTTCTTAGTACAGGCATAAACAAATCAATGCCCACCTTCTCCCAGGATACCTTTTTGTGAAGTCTTGGTGTCACAGCTCAGGACTTTTCCACTTCATTGTTTTCTGGTGACTTAAGAACAACATTTCCTACAATCCTTATCTTCATTTTCCCCCTGTGTGCTTGTAATCTGCTACCAGAATGATGCCATCCCTATTTAGTTAATTCTGCTTAAAATATTTTATATGCTGCTTAAGAATTCTGAGAGGGAGTGTTAGATGCGAGTATATATTAACCTGGGTATGTGTCCTATTAACCTTTTTGTGTCTTAAATGTATCTAACTACATCAATATATAGTTCAATACATGCATCGGCCCTATTTGCAAGCTTTTTTGTTTTTTTGTTATTCCCTTACCTAATTTTTTACTCATCTTCATGTTCAGCATGTTCTACTGAACGGAGGATCTTCCCCAAGTTTTGCCTACGCTGCAATTGAAATGCATAATTTCCTTGGATATTGGTTAATTAATAATAAGATCTATTTTGCTTTGTAAGCACAGAACCTTTAAACTAATACTGGATATTCCATTCTATATTTAAAAAAAGCTTTGCACCCTAACTCCTGACCGTGCAACAAATTCACAAAGTGTTGACTCTGCAGCTGACTCCAACTACTTTAGTAGTGCCATTTGTGTTGCAGTTACAGGTACAGACATATAAAATGCTGGTTGAATGCCCTTTTAAAAATTTTATTTTGCAGAAATGCGTATGCCACATGTGAAAAATTGGATAAATCACGAATTTGCAAACTGCATGATGGTCTTTGGTCTCAATATGGTCTTTGCATTTCAATGGAAAGATGTTGCAGTTTTTTGTGTTATTCTATAATTGGATTTGTACACATTGTCCTAGTTAGCTATAGCTAAACCTGAAGTGCCCTTGAATTGTGGATGTTGACTTATAAAATCCCTTATCTCTTGTATGTTATTGTGATGTTGAACAAAACACATTATTGCTGTATTGAAACTGTATTGGAATTCTCTTAATCTCGCACCTTAAATTGACTAATTACACATTTCCCTGACTTCTGTTTTATTGACCTCAATATTTTGACCTCTTGGCGGGTTTTGTTATGCTCGGTCATTATAAGGACTGGTAATGCATCTTCTTATAGATGTCCACCTTTTCTAGCCTTCCTTCTTACCTGTACTCTACAAGTGGGGAGGGCACGATTCTGACAGTGACATATATCCACACCTGCTTCTTCACTGATTACTATAACCGTGGATAATTAAACTCCTAAACTGATGCCTACTCCTTAGATCCATCTAAGAAAACAGAATATTGCCAATGACTCCTACTGGTGTTGGAAGTAGTTTCACTATTTTCATTTATGTCTTCATGAATGAATCTCATGCCTTTGACTATATATAGTTTAGGTATACCTCTGCTTGGTAGAACTTTTATTGCTTATGTTTAGCACTCCAGTCATGTTTTTTTGTTTTTGTTTTTTAAATTAATTAAATAAATAAATAAATAATTATATTTTATTGCATTTGTCTATCAAGGGTTTCAGCTTTGGCCTAGAGTGATATGGTCTATATTTGCTGCTGTTGTTTTGAGGTTTTTTTTTTTGTTTGTTTTTTTTTAAAGTGTTGCTGTGTTTATTCTGAATATGCAAGTCCAGTCTTACATGCAGTGTCCCATATAGTCACCTTGTACAAAGAAAAAAAAATAAAAAGCCACAAAACAACCATGCTTTATAATTCCTCAGAATAGCTGAAAAAAAAAAAAAAGAGAACAAATCACATTTTAAACAAAATAAAGTAAATGGCTGACATTGCGTAAAGGAAATACTAATTGGCAATACCTTGCTAATGCCAGCCAGTCACAGGAAGGAAGCATTAAGTTATTATTTTTAATAATGTTTACAAGTATATCCAGCCATTTCCAACCAGTGAAAAATGTTTGCCTTGGGAAAATGTGGCAGCGCTACTTCTCACTGTTGGAGCTGCTCATCTTCTCTCTGATAGCAATCATTAGTTTTATTTTTTAACCTAGTCCTCAAATGAAGATGGATGAGCAGGGGAATTGTAAATGCAAGCTGCTTATGTACAGAAAAATGGATCCTCCGCTACAAAAGGAGAATGACTGGCCCAGGTTCCGTTAGCATTAAAAAAATAAAAACACATTGCAAATTCAAGATAAAACCAATAAATAAATCAGAAATTAACTCCATGAAATAATGGCCATGTCACCCATGCCATTAACAATAGAGAAGACATACATCACACTCCAAATATTCTCTTAATTTTCTAATTGTTCTGAAAGCCCTTACGGATACAATTATTGTTAATTGCCTTTAATAAACTTTTTAACATTTCTTTCTCAATAACCATCTATTGCATGCCTATGATCAGCATGCCTCTTAGGTGTCAAATCATCGTTTTCGTTCTGCTGTTTATACATGATTTTTTTTTTCCCCTCTTTCTTTTTTTAATGTGTTTTGAGTTGTATTTTTCTTAGTAATTTACCAATTACTGTGATTTAATTTCAATAGCTTTGAGGGTTTTTTTTTGTTTGTTTGTTTTTTTTCTTTACATGCTGCAACTTCACCTTGTCTTGATTATATAGACAGGTACTACCATAGGAACGCGTTGGCAATGCTAATGTACCAACTAACATTGTACTCCTAATTACTGCCAATTACAGGAAAATAAAGAAAAACACGAGTCAATCAATAATAATCAAACACTTTAGATCTTTTAATCTGTTAAAATTAAAATGTTTAGGGCTATCAGCTAATTGTATAACATAGCTGTTTTTTGTTTTTAATAAACAGTCTGTAATACTATGAAGGTATTATGGGTTAATGTCAGTTTAACAGGTGGAGAAGTCCATTTTAAGCTCAAGTGAGTTGTCACTTGAGAAATGTCCCTTGCTCGATTGAGTGCATGTCCTGTCCCGTCGTCCCCACCCCCTTCCCCCCCATCTCTTCTTTCTTCAATAGACAAAGGCCGCTGGAACACTCATTTAATCACAAAGAGAACAGATTGTGTATCTTACAGTAGCACAACATAGAGATTGAGTAGGGCATTTGAGATGAAATTGAAACATCAACAAGAGGCTGACTTTGATTCTTATTAGATCAGTCAAAATATGCAAATTATATGAAACAGAAAATTAAATTGAACTATTCAAAGCTTTTGTTTAATAGAAATCTGATGTATACAACATTTAGTTGATAATGGCCTTTTGTGTGTACCTAAAATCTAAGGTCATTTTCACTGAGCAAGATGGTGGGTGTGGACGGAGGGAGTTTGAAATGTTAAATGTGAGTTGCATGGAGAATCTCTGAGAACCAGAATAATCTGCAGGGAGACATGTTATAGAAGCAGTGAGTGTTAACACAGCGGTTTGTTCAGATATTAAGAGACACAGGTTTATTCACTATACAATGTACCATAGTGTGCTCACAACCAAACTGCAAATTTAGTCCACTATAAACCAACATGAGGGGAAATCTCCAATCCAGTTGAGTTCTCTGATCTTATATAGAGTTAAATATTAATCACTATGAATGGTAAAACTCTGTTTAGTTATTGGTTCGATATTGATGTAAAATAATTTGCTAAGTATCAATAGTGTTTCTGTTAATTGACTTGTCTGGCTAAAGAGGACTTAAAGGACCACTCTAGGCACCCAGACCACTTCAGCTTAATGAAGTGGTCTGGGTGCCTGGTCCAGCTAGGGTTAACCCATTTTTTCATAAACATAGCAGTTTCAGAGAAACTGCTATGTTTGTGAATGGGTTAAGCCTTCCCCTATTTCCTCTAGTGGCTGTCTCATTGACAGCCGCTAGAGGCGCTTGCGTGCTTCTCACTGTGATTTTCACAGTGAGAGCACGCCAGCATCCATAGGAAAGCATTATGAATGCTTTCCTATGTGACCGGCTGAATGCGCGCGCAGCCAGCCGACGGGGAGGAGAAGAGGAGGATCGGAGGAGGAGAGCTCTCCGCCCAGCGCTGGAAAAAGGTAAATTTTAACCCCTTTCCCCTTTCCAGAGCCGGGCGGGAGGGGGACCCTGAGGGTGGGGGCACCCTCAGGGCACTATAGTGCCAGGAAAATGAGTGTGTTTTCCTGGCACTATAGTGGTCCTTTAAAGATGGCCTTCCTCATTTAGCAATAATAAGATTGGATATGCAATATATATATGTATACACACAGATGTTAAAATAGATCTACTCTTTTATTTTACATAATAATTTGTAATTTTGTAAGTTTTGGTCAATGCCCATGTGTGTTTTCAGCTTCTTGTTTTTTTCCATAAGGGATACGTTGGATACTTTCCAATTAAGCCAGAAAATGCACCTACAATTCCAGGACAAGGAGACTCGAGACTGCAGACAGGACGTTTTAATTGATAATCTTGTTATAAGCAATAAGTAGAGTATGATTGCCTGACTGTTATTGGCACGCATCAATCCTTTGGATTCTGTACAAATTCAGACATGAACCTGTGACATTTCCCCTGCATTGATAAATGAGCTGATATATGGAATTTACTGTACATAGATTTATTAAATACAGATATTTATCTCCACAGAAACAATATATGTTTTAATAAGTGCTTTCCAGT